GCTACTGAGTCAGTCTCTCTGGCTCTGGCTCTTTGTCTTGGTTGCTCGTGCTCTCTCTCTCTCTCTCTCTCTCTCTCTCTCTCTCTCTCTCCCTCCCTCTCCCTCTCTGTCTCTCCCTCTCTCACACACACACACATCTTCCCCAACTCAGAACTAAGAGGCCAAAGCTCCAGGCATAATTCCCATGATCCACCTGCCTGTACGTGGGGTAAATCCAAGTCTGCCTCATGCTGCTCTCCAGAGAATTAAATGAGTTCCAAATGGGGATGGAGGGTTTGGAGCAGGGTCAGGCCCATCATAGGGTTTAGTAAGTGAACAATATCATTGTCATCCTCATCATCTTCACCAGCAGTGTCATCCCGTGGTCTCCTAGCCCAGGAAGGGTGAAGATCTGCCCATACCCTGTCTCTTGCCTCCCGCCCATGCAGGTCAACCAGATATCCAAGGTTTGGAGGCCTTTGCTCTCTGGTATCCAAGGTTGTGGAGCCCGGAGGCCGCTCTTCTGGAAGGGGAACCAGATTCTCAGTGTGAGGGGCCTTAGATCTGAGTTCAAATATCAGCTCAGCCATCCACTATTTGAGCAGCCCTGGGAAGCTACTTAACCTCTCTGTGCCTCAGTTTCCTCATCTGTGAGATAGAGCTAAAGATATTTCACATTGCAGAGATTGTCAAGAGGAAAAAATGAATCGTATGCATTTGTAATCCCTTCTTGTGCTCTAAAACACTGCACAGAGGTGGGCGCAGCCTGAGTTGAATCTCGAGAAGGATGGGATGGGAGGTGAACCTACAGGTGAACCTATGCAACCTCAAGGGAGCTGGGCAGTGGGGCAGGAGGACTCAGGCACAAGTCCCACCCTTGCTACTCAGAAGAGCTAAGTAGGGGCCAGGGATTTAGCTCAGTGGTTCTGGCACCTGCCTCCCAAGTGAAAGGTCACAAGTTCCATCCCCGGTACAAAAAAAAAAAAGAAGAGCTAAGTCACTTTGCTTCTCTGAGCCTTAACTTGCTCATCTGTAAAACAGGACCACCTAAAATGATAGGGCCAGCTTTCATTTATTACACGTACTACATATGCAGTTTTGCAAGTATCATGCTGTTTAATGCTCTATTAGTTTCATCTCAGGAAACTGAGGTTCAGAAAATGAAAACCATCTGTCTGAACTGGAAAGGGGCGAGCTGGGATGGGATCCCAGGGCCTCTGTCTATGTTGTCAGATCCTTTGTCCTACCTCGGCTATGGTCTTTCTAGGTCACAGTCTCCTGGAGCTGCTTGATGGGGAGAAACAGAGTTTCCAGGTTGGGATTTTAACTGCTCAAGGACAAAGAGGACCTGTGAGGACCGCCAGGAAAGAGCTCTCATTCCTGGTCGCTTCCTTAGCAAGGGCAGGAGGTGTTTTCAGGGCCTCCGATCACCCTGGTCACTCATCCATTCGTTCATGCTGTGTGTCAGACATGACACATTTCAAGGGTATGTGTGGTGAACAGGGCATCACAGGCTTTGCCCTTGAAGAGCTCCCTATTTTCCGGGCAGGAGACAGAAAACAAGTAGGATAATAAAACGTAATGATAAAAGACAAGTGAAAGTACTGAAAGAGAGAGTGCCTGGGGATGGGGCAATCAGGGAGCTGAAGGAAGAGAAGATTTGGAAACAGTGCCAAGCAGGAGAAGCCATACATGCAAAGGCGCTGAGGAAGGAATCAGCCAGTGTCTCCAGGGACAGCCAAGCCAGTGTCAAAGGAAGAAACTGGGTGAGGAAGAGAGAGGTCAGGGAAGTCGGTGGGCCTCAAGGGATAGCACCAAGGCAGGGCATGGAGATTTATTCATTGTCTAGGTTGGGAAACTCAGGCAGAGGAGAAGAGCCCTGCCCAAAGTCTCTTCTCTGGATTAAGGATAGAGATCTGAGGGGAGAACTCAGGCTCCTGCTGTGGCCTCAAAAGTGGGGCACCCCTGGGAGGCCCAAGGCTCCTGCCTCTTCCCAGACACCATCCTCTCCAGAGAAACAGCCTCTCCGGGGTGTCTCAAGTCCACACCATCTCTCCAGCCTCAACCTTCCCACCCCCCAGGCCTTCACTGGGCTCCCCCAGCCCTCTCCCTGGGGCTCGGTCCCCTGCCGAGACGAAAGGCCCCACTTCTATCCCTGGGGCGTTTTTCAGATCCCCTTTGTTACCTGAACAATAAGTAACCCAGGTAGTTAGTTATAAACTCTACAGGAACAAGGAGCTGGTTGATAATTTATAGCAACATCTCAAATTTAAATGGAAAGTAAATAGCATGCTGTTAGCAGTAAAGAAAACCCTCTCGGGGTGCAGGGAAGCGCTCAGCCCTCCTCCCTGCCTGCGGCCTCACTCTCTCCCCTGCCCCTTCTCCCAGCCGGGTCTGAGCCCCTCTCCCCTGGGGCTCCCTGCTCTCCCGGCTTTTGCACCCTCTCTCCATCTTCCCCTTGTCCTCTCTCTTCCTCCTGCTCCCCGCTGCTCCTGCCTGGGCTCCCAGGTCTCTGCTCGTCCCCAGGCAGCACTTTGCCCTCTACTCCCTCCCTCGAATGCTGAAGACCAAGCCTCCCCCATCCCACCACCCCACGAAAGGGCTGCCGGTCAAGAGACCCCACCCCACCAGGTAAGATGGCCCTTGGCATCCCTTGCCCCGATCCATACCCCAAAGCCCCTGACCCGACCTGGGCCCCAAGCCGGCCAGGGCCGGCCCCACCCCATCCAGGTCGCCCTGGGTCTGGTGATGCCTGGCCCTTCGCCCCTCCCCTGCAGCACAGAAGCCCTTTGCCCTCTTCTTCCTGCCAAGTCAGGGGGCCCAACGGCTCCCCTGCCCCCTGTCCAGGGCCTCAGGAGGCTCCCGGACACTTCTGGGAAGGCCAGGGTCCACCAGCCCTCCCCCACGGCAAGCTTGGATCAGGACCTTGGACAGAAAAGAGCGTTTCCCCCCACCCCCACCCCCGCCACAGAGCATCCTTGGAGCAGTTTTGAAAGCTCCTCAGCCACCCCTACCCCACTGCCGCTGGCCCCTGGCACCCACCATAGCTCCTTTCCCACACCAAGCCTCGGTTTCCCCATCTGTGAAGCGGAATTCTCAACAGCTACCTCCCAGGGCTCCTCTGAACATTAGGGGCAGCTTGACACAGGAAGCCTCAACAGCAAGCAGCAAACCCTCGCAGATATGCAGCTGTGGGGACGGAGAATGAGGAAACCATAGAAAAGAGTGGTCCCCGTGCCCCCGGGTCGCACCTCTCCCACCCCAGTGTCCCTACCCTTCACCCTCACTGGGTGGGAGATTGGTCGGCCCGGGCCTCTCCAGGCCGCTGTCCCTTCAAGTTAATGATCACAGGCCTTATCAGAGCCTTTTGCCGTTTATAAATTTATAAAACAAAAGAGAAATAATAAAGTGCATGGGTAATTAGTAACCAGGTCAGCTCTTCTGAGGAGAGGGGAGGCATCAAGCTCAGGACCCACCCAGTTCTCACCCGGGAGATGGGGAACCAGCCAGCGGACGGGGTACAGGACGGCGGACAGGGTACAGGATGAACAGCCTGCGGCCCAGGTGGGGGACCTGTGGCCATGCGGGAAAGAAGAGCAGCTCCGACCCCAGCCTCCATCTGCCTCAGGTAAGAAAGACCTGGGCTTTCCCAGCCTCCAAATGCTTGAGTCCCTGGGGACCAGGGAAGCCCCCCCCCCCCCAAAAAAAACCCCAGCCTTAGCCGCCACCTCCCTAGTGGTACCTTCCCCCCCCCCCCAGCTACAACCTTAGTATTCAGGAGGCAAGATAGGATTCGTGGAGTACAAATGGCCCTGGTGGCTAAAGTTTTCCCCCACCTCCTGGCTCTCCTGGCATCCGCACTGTGGACCCTCGATTCTCCCTCCACCCCGGAGCTTCCCGGGGGCATGTCCCCACTTCTGAGAGCCACGCTAAACGCCACGGCACATGGAACTCTGCAGAGGGGCAGATCCGGGCAGGAGGGGAGGGTGGCCCGGCGGGCTCCTTCCGGGTGCTGGGGACGGGAGGGGGCCTTACTGCAGCAGGGTCTCCACCACGGCTTTCTGGTGGGCCGCCTCCTCGGGGCTGAGATTCTCCAGTTCCTTGAGGATGGGTGGCGTGAAGTCTTCCCCATCGTCATCCGTCTCGTCCTCGGAGCCCCGCGTCTCCCCCAGCCCATTGGGCAGCTCAGCCAGCTCCCCTCGAGTCCCGCCGCAGCTCTCGCCCTTGTCCAGGGGGCCGTCTCCAGCCATCAGGTAGGGTCCCGGCTCGCCCAAGGCCTGGATCAGCGCCTCTTTGCTCAGGCCCGATTCCAGCAGGGCAGCCAGGAGCTCTGTCTGCAGCTGGCTCAGTTTAGAAACCATGGCTCGGCCACCGCTGCGCCACGAGGCCCGGGGCCACCAAGCTGGCCGCCTCCCCCACCCACCGCGCAGGCTGTCTACTTCCCGGCCGGCTGGCAGTCACAAACCAGGCTCCTTGCACCCACTGCCCCCCCAAAGCCCACTAGCCAAGCCCTTGGGCACCCCTAACCCCCAACCCTGGCCCCAGAGGCCAGTGAATCAGGGCCCCTGCCTGCTCTATTTACATTGGAGCTGGGGAAATTCTCCAAGGTTCATATTTATCCGTGTGCTTAGCAAGGGACTGAACTTTGGACTTCAGCCCTGCAAAGAGCAGGTCTCATGGCAGCCCGGGAACCATGGCCTTCAACGGGAGCGGGAGAGGGGCGGGGGAGGCGGAGGCTGGGTGGGCAAATGCTAGGAGCCAGGGAAACCACTGGCCCAGCTCTGGGTTGCACCCCTCAGGGTCTTTGAGAGGCATCAGGCTGAGGCAGGGAGCAGAAAAAAGCCTGTTTCTTTCAGGAGAAGCAGCAGAAAGTTCTAGGCTGCTGGGCCAGCTCCTAAGGGCAGAGCGCCTCACCTCCATTTTGGGACCCTCTCACCAGACCTAGGCCCACCACCAGGCCTCCCAGTAGGAAATCTTGGTAAAGCCAATGTGCACCAGGGACTCTGCTGGGTTTGCCGTGTGTGTCTTCATTGAATCCTCCTGGCAACTCAGAGTAGGGGCAGGGATTACCTCCATTTTACACAGCAGAAAATCCAGGCTCTGAGAGGCAGAACAATAACCCACCAAAACTAGTGAGAGACAAGATTTTCAGGGAGTGGGACCAGGTTGAAGAGAATGAGGCACTTGCCCCAGCTACAAATTTTAAGCGGCACCCCAAAAAACATTAGTAATCAAGATAAATAACTTCTTTGTGCTATATATTTTAAAAATTAAAATTAATGCGAAACCCAAAAGAATGAAAAGCATATGTCCACCCAAAGCTTGTACATGGGTGTTCACAGCAACATCATTCAGGATAGCCAAAAAAATGGGGGAAACCCCACAAATATCCAACAACAGAAGAATGAATAAAGTGTGACGTATCCGTGCAGTAGGATATTATTCAAGCCAGGTATGTGGCACACACCTGTAATCCCAGCTACTTGGAAGACTGAGGCAGGAGGATCACAAGTTCAAGGCCAACCTGGGCAATTTAGTGAGACACCCTGTCTCAAAACAAAACATGAAAAAGGGCTGGGGATGTAGCTCTGTGGTGGAGCACTTGCCTAGCGTGCACAAAGGCCTGGGTTAATCCCCTGTACTTGCCACAAAAGAAAAGTATATTATTTGATCTTGAAACACACTGCAACATGGATGAACCTTGAATACATTGTGCCAGGTGAAAGAAGCCCATCACAAGAGGCCTCACTGCATTTACATGAAATGTCCAGAGTAGGCAAATCCATAGAGAAAAAGTAGCTCCATGGCTCCCCCAGGGGCTGGTGGGAGATGAGAATGAACAAAATATCAGACTTTTAAATAAAGACTGGTGTTCTAACCCTCACCCACCCCTTCCCTCCTCCAGCCAAGAGCCTGACAGCGTTCCTCGAGTGTGCGTGCCCTGAGCCAGGCACAGAGGGTGTACTCCATTTCAGGGAGAAGCGGTGGTGCTGAGGGGCTGTCCCCTACACTGCACCATTTCTGACGGGGATGGATCTTTCAGGAGTCTGCAGAGCCAGCAGCTGGAAAACTCCCCAAAAGCCAAGCCAGGAGGGCAGAGAAGAAAGTCGGGTTAACTACTGTCCCCTCCCACACCAGGGTGGTCCAGGGAACTCTGCCCCTGAATTCACTTCATTTTTGCACAGGATTTATTACCTTCCTACATCCTTGATGCATGTGCCATCCAGTACAGTACCCAGCACCCCCATGTAGCTGTTGGGGACTTGGGATGTGGCTAATGCCTCTTGGTAAAATGACAGTATTTTGAATATACTGGTTTAATGTTTAAATTTTTAAATTACACCAGGTGCAGCAAGACTGTAATCCCAGGCCTAGAAGCTGAGCCAGGAGGATCGAAGAGTTCAAGACCATCCTGGTCTACATAGTTAAACCCTGTCTCAAAAATACAAATCAAACCAGACGTGATGGCACATGGCTATAACCCTAGGCCTGGGGAGCCTGAGGCAGTAGGATCACCACAAGTTCAAGGCCAGTCTGACTCAAATAGTGAGAGACTGTCTCAAAAAGAAAAAAAAAGTAAATAAAAAATTTAAAGGAGCAGGTGGGGCCGGGGATTTAGCTCAGTGGTTTCGCTGCCTGCTGCGCAAGCAGAAAGAAAGAAAGAAGAAAGAAGGAAAGAAAGAAAGAAAAAAAGAAAGAAAGAAAGAAAGAAAGAAAGAAAGAAAGAAAGAAAGAAAGAGGCTAGGTGTGCTGGCACAGACTTATAATCTCAGCTACTCGGGAGGCTGAGGAGAAGGATGGTAAGTTCTAGGTCAAACTGGGCAACTTAGCAAGACCCTGTCCCAAAAAAAGGGGTAGGGAGGGCTGGGGATGTATTTCAATGGTAGAGCGCTCCTGGGCTGAATCCCCAGTATCACACACACACAAAGATCTAAATTTAAAATAATTTCAAATTATATTTAATTTCAATTTTATTATTCATATAGTTTTAAATAAACTTAAAATAATTGTAAGTAAATATCTTCACCTGTTTTTTAGTTTTGCAGTACTGGGGATGAAACCCAGGGCCTCTCACACACTAAGAAAGTGCTCTACCACTGAACTACATCCCCAGCCCCATTTGTTTGTTTGTTTGTTTGCTTGTTTTTGAGACAAGGCCTGGCTAAATTGCCCAAATTTGCACTCCTCCTGCTTCAGCCTCCAGAATAGCTAAGATTGTAAGTATGCACAACCATGCCTGGCTCTTTTTACTTTTTACATGGTGCTACTGGAAATCTTTAAATTACATGTTAATTTTAGTTTGTATCTAGGGGTGAAGTTCATTAGTAGAGCACTTGCCTCACATACAAAGGCCCCGGGTTCAATTTCCAGCACTATGACATAGTAAAATAAAATTATATACGTGGCTACATTATTGGGTACCATTACCCTATGATTTACTTATGTATTATTCTGACTGTTTATAACCTTACTTTCTTGTGCTAGAATGTTAGCCCCACCAGGCATGGTGGCACACACCTGTAATCCCAGCACTTAGAAGGCTGAGGCAGGAGGATCGCCTGTGAGTTTGAGGCCAGCCTGGCCTACACGGTGAGTTCAAGGCCAGGTTGAACTGCATAGCGAGACCCTGTTTCAAAAAAAAAAAAAGAAGAAGAAGGTCAGCCCCACAAGGAAAGGGCTTTTTTCTGCCTTGTTCACTGCTATATCCCCATGGCCTAGTGCATTGCCTCATGTGTACATAGTAGATGCTCAATAAATATTCGTTAAATGAGTAGCTCCTTTTCATTTCGACTCACCGACTCCGTGTGTTGTTTCTTTGTTTGCTTTGAGGGGAGCAAGGCTGAGAATGGAACCCAGTGTGCTATGGTTTGTTTTCCTCAAAATCACATTCCGAAACTTGATCCCCGCTGAGCAGTACTGGCAGCCAGTTGGGTCCTGGGGCTCTGCAGTGGGAGTGGATGGTCGGGAGACCCCTCAGGAGTGGCTTAGCTGTCGGAGAGCGGGCACCTCACCAAAGCTCCCCCGGCCTTTGCTTTCCAGAATCATGAACCGAATAAATTTCTGCTTGTTGTAAATCACCCATTCTCGGGAATTCTGGTTGTAGCAGTCGGCAGGGGACTAAGACATCACATACACCTGGTTCCGCTCTACGCTTTAGTCTGTGCCAAATTCTCGGAACAGCACTGAACTAGGTTCTGTTACTATCCCACCCTCAGGGGAAGAAACGGAGGCTCAGAGGGCTAAAGGGCGACTCAGACTCCCTCGGAGCTGGGATCTCAGCCCCTGGGAGGCCTCTCGGGAGACCCAAACCTCCAGCCCAGGGAGCAGCTTGCAGCTGGGGTCAGAATTCCCAGGTCCAGGCTGACAGCCTGGGAAGGTTCTGCTTGCGAGCTGGCCTTCCTGCTCACTTACCCTGCCTGCCGTGGCCCCTCGGTGAATTGTCACCCACAGCCGGAAGCCGAGGGGGGCGGGGGGTGGGGGGCGCTGAATCTTCGAAGAAGTTTTAACTGCCGGGTCCTGGGCCAGGGATCCAGGTTGCTGAGCCAGTGACCCGGAATGAAGGTGAATTTGAAAATCAAGACAGGCAGTTAGAGTATTGTTTTGGGGGTTTGCTTTGTTTGGTTTTGTTCTAGTTGACACATGTTGATGCGATACAGTGTGATGTTTTTCTTTGGATTTGCTTTTCTTTTCTTTTCTTTTTTTTTTTCTTTTTTTTTTGTTACACAGGATCGAACTCAGGACTTTGCACTTGCAAGGCAGGTTCGCCACCACTAAGCTAAATCCCTGGGCCTTTTCTTTGGTGTTTTGAGACAGAGTCTCACTACGTAGTTAGTCTAGACTGGCCTTCAGCCTATAATGTCGCCCAGACAGGCCTCAAACTTGCTCCAATCCTCCTGCCTCAGCCTCCCAAGTGCTGGGATTATAGATGGGCATTCCCATGCCTGACAACACTCTGATATTTTAATACATATATAATATGTAATGATCAGGTCAGAATAATTGGCATATCCATCACCTCAAACAGTTATAATTCCTTTGTGTTGGCAGCACTCAAAATTCTTTCTAGGGGCTGGCGCTGTAGCACAGTGTTCCAGGGCTTTCCCAGCATCCATGAGGCCCAGGGTTAGATCCCCTGCAAGGCAGAACAAGAGCAAATAAAAACAAAGATAAAATACAAAAAACTCTCTCTCCCCACTATTTTGAAATATACTTTTTTTTTTTGGTACCAGGGATCAAACTTGGGTCCCTGCGCTTGCGCAGCAGGCGGGGAAACCACTGAGCTAAATCCCCCGGCCTTGAAATACACATTTGTTGTCAACCATAGGTACCCTGCTGTGCAGTAGAAAGTTAGAAATTATTCCTCCTGTCCAGTGCATTAACCATCCCTGCACCCTTGTCTGTCTTCTACCTCTTAACCCCCACTCTTCCCAGCCTCTGGTAACCCCTCTTCCACTCTCTGCTTCTAAGGGATCAACTTTTTGAGCCTCCACATGTGAGAACATGCGGTATTTGTCTTTCTGTGCCTGGTTTATTTTTTGTAACATAACATCCTCCAGTTCCACCCGAGGGAGGCAGCTTGCATTCTTGAGAATCACCCAGGATCTGGTCTGAATCTCACTGTGCCCACCCCAGCCCTCTGCCCCAGCTGGCGGCCCCAGGCAAGTGAGTGCCTCATCTTTCTTGGCTCAGCTATAAAATGGAAGTAAGGATCTCATAGGGTTTCGTAAGACAACTTCTTGTAAACAGCATGATGCAGAGATCCCAAACTTTCTAGGTTCAAGGCACACTTAACAGTCTCAGTCATTTTTTCCTGACGTCCCTAACCATCTCCCCCC